GCATGGGAGGGGGTGGTGAGTCATGGAGGGAGGGAGGAGTGGTGGTGCTTGGCCCTCGTCGCGTCCCGCGTGGGCGTTGTATTGTCGTCCCAGGGCGGCCGTTCATCGTCGTTGCGTGTCGCTGTTGTCACGGTCGCGGTTGCGTGTTGCCGTTGTCGCGTCTTGTGTCTCGTCGTCGTCGCGTGTCGTCGTCGTTGCGTGCTGTCGTCGTTGCGTGTTGTGGTTGTGGTCGTTGTCGCGTGTCGTAGTCCTCGCGTGTCGTAGTCCTCGCATGTCGTAGTCCTCGCGTGTCGTCGTCCTCACGTGTCGTCGTCGTCGTGTGCCGTCGGCGTCGCGTGTCGTCGTTGTCGTTGTCGTCGCGTGTCGTGTCGTTGTCGTCGTGTGTTGTCGGCGTCGCGTGTCGTTGACACGTCATCGTGTCGTGGGTGGTGCTTGTCATCGGCCTCGGTGGTGGTTGTGGGCTGTTGTTGGGGTGTGGTGTTGTTGCATGGGGTTGCCGTTGTCGTGAGGTCGGTTCGGGCAAGGTACGGTGGTTGGGTGTGTCGAACGAGGTTGGAGATGGTGGGAAGGTGGTGGTGGGAAGACAAAAGACAACGACGCGGCAACAAAGCCAACGTGCTTTCGGAACGTGCCGGGAGCGAGGGTATATGATGTGTAAAAGTTATAGGGCTAATAAAGCCTTCGTGGTGTAGTGGTTTATTGTGGCAGTTACAGCTGCCCAAGTGATTGAGTGTTCAATTCCCGGTCATAGCATTCTTTTTTTCTGGTCTAATAATAATAACAATAATAAATAAACAGAAATTGTAAACTCTTTCTGGACTCCATATGGAGTCTGGCTGGTTGACTGTGTTATGAGGTGGAGTCCATGCAGTCCAAATGGTGGACCTGGACTCCAGTTGGAGTCCAGGTGGATCCTAGACCAACATTTGGCTGAGTTGCCACCAGAGAAAAAATCTGGATGAACAGCAGTAATCCATCTGGAGTCCGCTGGAGTCCATCTGGAGTCCAACTGGAATATGTGGAGGAGTGTAAAGTCCTCGTCAATAATCTCTATCAAATCTTGACTGCATTATGGCATTGCAATGAAAATCATCAAGACTTTTTTTCCCTTCTGAACAACTTATCATCGGGCCTAGCTTGTTGGAATCGTGCTTTTCCAAGCTTTTCAAAGGTGGTTCTTATATGGGTTGAAGCTCATTATTACATTTTGTGGAGCTCAAACAATGTGTGAAATGCTATATTTTACAATAAAACCATCAAGACTTCTCTCTTCCCCAAACAACTTATTGTCAGGCATAGCTTGTTGGAATCATGCTTTTCCAAGCTTTTTAAAGGTGGTTTCTATGTGGGTTGAAACTCATTATTAAATTTTGTGGAGCTCAAACAAAGTGTGAAATGGTACATTTTACAGTAAAACCATCAAGACTTATCTTTCTCCTGAACAACTTATTGTTGGGCCTAGCTCATTCAAATTCTGCCTTCTCCAGCTTGACAGAGATGGTTTTTATGTGAGTTAAAAGTCATTGTTACATCGTGCGGATTGTATCTCAAAAAGTAATCACTACTCCGCCGGAGCAACTTTATAAAAGTTTTACTGCCCAAGTGGAGCTATTTTGAAACAAATTGCACTTCTCCACCAGAGGCATTTAAAAAAATTACATTGCAGTGGAGCCATTGTTTAAAATATTGCATTGCTCCAGTGGAGCTGTTTTTAAGAAAATACATTACTCCGGCGGAGCCATTGAAAAAAAAAAAAATACCCTGCTCCGCTAGAGCTATCATTAGTAATCACACTGCTCCGGCGGAGCCATTTTGAAAAAAATACACTGCTCCGGCGGAGCTATCTTTAGAAGAAATTGCACTGCTCCGGTGGAGCCATTCAAAAAAATATATATTGCTCTGGTGGAGCCAATTGAAAAAAAAAATACACTGCTCTGCCAGAGCTATCTTTAGAAGAAATTGCACTGCTTTGGTGGAGCCATGAAAAGAAAATGCTTTGCTCTGGCGGCACCATTGTTATAAGAAATTGCACTGCTCCAGCAGAGCCTACTCAAACAGAACTACCTAAAAAAAATATTGCTGCAGTGGAGCCATTTTTAAAAGAAATACACAACTCCAGCAGAGCTATTGAAAAAAAAAATATGTTGCTCCAGCAGAGCCATTTAGAAGATATTTTGCTCCAGTAGAAACATTGTTTATATTCAAGTTCCCTTCTCATATACATTGCCCCAATAGAACCAATTTAACAAAAGTTGCATTTCTCCACCAGAGTCTCTTTGAGATACATGTATGTAGGTCCACAGATAATTTACCTCATCACCCTTCATTAGTAAAATTCTTTTATGTTAGCAGTAGACACTCTCCTCATTGATTGAGTTATTAAGATATACTTTGGTCATTATTTTCCTTAGTTCTCTTTGATATACATTGCTCTGCTGGAGTTATTTCTTAAAAAATTGTGTTGGGCCACCAGGCTCTTTTTTAAAAAAATTGCATTGCTCTGCCGAAGTTGTTTTAAAAAAATTGCATTGCTCCGCTGGGGTCTTCTCTAAAAAAATTGCATTGCTCTGCCGGGGTCTTCTCTAAAAGAATTGCATTACTCCGCCAGAGTCTTTGTAAAAAAAATTGCAATGCTCTAATGGAGCTTCATAGTATATATATATATTGCTCTAGACCAACACAGCTATTAGAAAAAGGTGTCCCCCATGCAAAAGTAATGTGTTTTTATTCGAAGGTCCTCTGCTGGTGTATCATATTCAGCTGTATTTGTGGGACCCATAATATATACAATAGTTAATGGAGGCTGCTTGGGTTCCAAAAGAATTCTGCAATGGGTCACATTCATGGTGTTTAACTGACTTCTGCAACCTTATTGTTATGTGGAAGCATTGTAGTACATTTACAAGGTGCCCCACACTTTGAGCCAGTGGACAATGATATGCATCCTCCCCATGACAGTCCTCATGGTGTTTGACTGGCTTCTGTGGCCCTATTATTATGTAAAATCTTTATAGTATATTTACAAGGTGCTCTGCATTTTGCCCAAGGTGGGCCGCAATTTGTGCCGTCGGATGATGATGTGCATGCTCCGCAGGAGTCGCCGTTGGGGAGAAGTACGGCTGCCTCAAGCTGATGGGTGATTGTAACAATCACGGCTGTACCAATCACTAAGGGACAGTTTAGAAAACCAGCCGGTCCGGCTGGGCTCATGTTACATGAGTGATTGTCACATCTGGTTACTACATTAGGTATGGGACATGATGACTAACATATGTGGACGACGACGGCGCCAATTTCGTGCTACTACCTACAACAAACGGAAACAACAAGCCAGAAGACGAAAAAGACGTTAACGCTTACTCGAAGGCCTAACATCTTATTCTAACGCATAAACGGTGTCGGAAGGGCGCGGGAGGTCTGGGAACGGATGTATGAGCTACGGAAAGGCGGCGTTTCGCATGGAGAAGGTGGGAGAGGTCATGAGCTATGGAATGGGGTGACGAAAAGTGAGTCACGTCGCATTGGATATCATACATGACACTGACCATTCTAAAGTACTCGACACTTCGCATGGAGCGTTTAGGGTCCCATGCGCCGGTTTTGTGGATGAAACTATGTCGTCTCAGCGCTGGAAATGAGCAAGAGCGATGTCTTGTAGATATGGACGGATAAACGAAACCGGGACACGCTAAACGATAAGGTACGTCAGTTTGACTTGGTAGTTATTGTGAAACAACATACTTTCATAGATTCGAATTCGCCGTCTCGCAACACCTCCAAAATCGAGATGGAACACCTATGTGAAGCTGTAAGTCAAGACATTGACGAGAATCGAAAGAACTGATGAAATAGCTTTGCAGAACCAACATAACCGACGATGATAAGTCAATGGCACGAGGGACATCAACATCTGCGCCAGCTGGGACGATGGAATGTGTATCCACGTGTCCGATGTGCAGAGGGCGAGAAGTAAGTACACTTCGTGTACCGCAACAACAATACATGACCCAGTTCCTGTTTCAACAGAAATTCGGCAGTTTCACGCGAAAGTGAGTTCCACATCTGCTTTTACACAAGTTTTTCACTAACACAAGGTATCAGATGCGTACAACAAACCGAAAATCCCCTTTGCCCAAAAAAAATGGAAAGCTTATTCCCCGCACCATCTCCCCTTGTTCTTGCGCAAGGAATCCAGTGTGGCGAGCCTTACTGGGGCCGAGAGTCAGCCCGGCAGGATGGCATCTTCCAGCAAGGCCCATGATATACCCGGTTCCCGAACCCCAAACATTACCTATGTTGATTTTATGATGCCAGTGGAGCCTGAACAGAATTTGAGGATAGTCGTTGAAAGCACTGTGACTGAGAGGGTGGACGACGGTTTCAACAGAGCTATAAAGGGCGTGGCGAAGCAACCATTTCAAGATATCGCCGTCGTAGACCTGCAAGATAATGGTGATACATGCAGCTCCCCGTTGAGTCCTTCCTTTGACTCAATCTTTCCTGTTCGAGTCAAAAAAAGGGACACCGTTGAGGCGTTGCAGCTCCATCGGCTCAAGTCGATGCAGAGGTTGGGCATGGAGGCGTACAAAGATGTCATGGAGAAATATCCTATGAGCGCGGATCTGGAGGAGACGGCGCTGGCTTACAGGTGTTTTTGAACTGGTGATGGTTTGGTGATGGTTATTTCATGTAGCTTGTACGTAGTACGTCTGTCACATTCTCTTTTATTGATGACGACGAATTTACTTCAAATTCTTTTCACGTTCAAGCACCGAGGCATGGCTGAGTGTTATCAAATTTAGTTGAGGGGAGCTGGCGAAAGAAGACAACTCGGACCTACCTTGTGTTTGCATTCTCACAACTCGTATTTCAAATCACTGTGCAAAGGTACACCTGTCTGCCCATTCCAATCCAATGCCCAATTTGTACCCATTGACAAGGACACTCCCTTGGCTTGTAATGTTAAGGACATCATCTGGAAAGGCTCAGTCAACGTGAGTCGAGGGGTTGCAGCAAGCATAAACAGACCATACACGATAAACTACAGCTATTCAGTTACATAGAGCTGATACTTTACTTTTCATTCATTTTTTTTTCTTCTGATCATGTTGAGAGCCATCGACGATACAAAGCATTCGCCAGGTGAGTGGCGTCAGTGAAGACAAAGATCAGGGATAAGTTGTATGCGGTCTCTTTGGTGAAGAGGTCGTCCTGTTTGCGTCCTGTTACGATACAGTCATTGATCATGCAGGGAAGTAGGGGGAGGTGTACATTGTTCTTCTCTGCAAGTTCAAGAACATTCTTGTAATGCTTGACCGCATAGGAGTAGAGTCCTGGATAGAATTAGCAAGGAAGCCACACAACAACAGGAGGATGAGATGGACCAAGCTGATGGAAAGTCCTGGAAAAGTTGTATTCCACTTCCCGTACACTCTGCATGCCTCTTCCTCGCAGACTGCGATACTGCGTTAGGAACGCCATGGCCTAAAAAGAAACAGATTATTAGTCCCATAATCCTGCTCAGAGCGGACAGAACTACCTGTGTAACAAGATGATGTCGGTTATCTGACTGACGTTGCATCGCCCTACCAATGGAAGCTATGGCCAAGCACAGGCATATCATCGGATCGTCGGGGCAATAATCGTATGCATGCAACAGATAGACTATCCACAACGTCAGCAAGAAGCAGCATATACGCACATGAAAGGGGGAACTCACAAATAGCACTCTGATAGCTCTTCGTAGCAATGCAAATTTGGCCATAGATAGCCACAATAACCGAGTTATGCTTCGTCAGTATATCAGGGACATTGAGGCTCCCAGCCGTAGCTGTCGCCCCACTCGCCTGATCACCACCCTGGTCCGGCACTCCATCATCCCCATCCTCCATCCTCCGCTTTCCCGCTCTGTGCAGTGGGTGCATACCACTTGTTCAATGGATTCCACTTCAGCACTTCTGGGCTCTTCACAGCCGTATCCGCCAACTTCATTTCATTAAACAGATGCTTTTGAAGCGTGGAAGTGATGAAAGAATCTGTGGGGCGGAGGCCACTTGATAGGCAAGCCACGAGGATTCGGAGTGGCTCGTTGTTGAACTGGTGTACGGTGATGAGTTTGTGTGCTTGTTCAACGACAGCGGTGTGTTGGCCTGCAGCCAGACCACAAGCTACAGGCAGAGACGTATGAGCTCAGACAGTACGAAGAGTGAAAAGGAGGGATGCTCACTGATGATTGCTAGTCGAATAGTCCTGTCGCTCACGATCTTGATATGTGTTTGAGACATTGATATATCGGAGGATTTCATCTGCGACATCGTATTGACCTCGTCGAGTAAGAAGAAAGCAATACTGGACCCCAGGATCAACCAAAGGGCTCAAAAAGTTAAGAAAAATCCAAACAAACCTGCATGAACAACTTCAACCAGTCATCGAACGAAATCTCTCGAAATACATCCACTTTAAATTTGCCGATCTGCGTGTCTCCCTTGGTCACCTTCCTCGACATGCTATCACATTCTAAAAAGATTGATGTTAGCCTCAACCCGACAATTGAAGCAACCACCAACCCAAGTCAAGCCGCAACCTCGACACCATCCGATCTTCATCAGCTTCCATCTCGACCTTCTGCTTCTTCCTATGACTCCTTGGAAACATCCCCTTGAACAGATTATTCTACGCCCCGCCAAAAAGATCAGCCCCTCACCCAACCTCAAAGCAAAAGAAAAAAAGACAACCCACCCTACTGGTCAGAAATAAATTCCTCGTCTCCCTAATTAAACATATCCACAAGCTTCTCCGCCTCAACCATCCACTCCCTCTCACACTCCTCATCCCCACCCATCATACCCGCCCACAGGTCCCTTATTTCCGATATCCCTGCATCACCTCTTTCTCCTTGGCCGCCTCGAGCTAAGCTGCAGGTGCGTTAGTCGGCTCTGGACACGGACAGCGTTAGCTTTGGACATGGCAATACGTTCTTTGGGTCGCCGGTGCTTTTGCACGCTTTTGCGGGAGTCGATGACTTGGAGGCGTCGAGTCACATCATTGTGCATAGGATCAGCCTGTCGGACTTGATATGTGTCAGTCAGCGTGCTAGTTAGCTGCCAAGTAAGAAAGTCGTACTGTGTTCGTAGACTACTTCTGCAGCTTCACAAAGTTCTTCGAGCATCTTCATGCATGCGGCTGTTTGTAAGAGAATATAAATACTGCTTGTCTTCAGTTGCGATGAGTGCCATATTTTCAAAAAGAGGTGTCAGGAGTCACATACCGCAGGGTCAGCACAGGAGCTCGTAGATAGGCTTCAACTCTGCGTGCATCTCCCTCTCAAAGTATGCATCTGCAATCTCAGCAAAGAGGACTGCGTAGTGAAGGATATCTTGTGCCAAGACCGCATTCGCATGGAGCTAAACAACAAAAATCAGCATCTCCCACAATCAAGAGAACCAAACTCACCTTTCGAATTCCCTCCTCGATCTCACCCATCTTGATCCTCGCAACCGCCAACCGATGACGCGCATTTGCGTCCAGCTCAAACCTTCCAGCCTATATCCCACCTCCCTCCCCAATCACACCTCTCCCCAGCCACCCTTCCATATCATACTCCCTATCATCCTCGCACAAATCCCAATACCACTGCTAGCATGCTAGTCTCTCCCTTGCAACCAACGAGTCGCGTTATTGTCTGGGCTGCTTTTCGTGTTCCCCAAGAGCATTGTACAAGTTGGCTAGGAGGAGCAGGTCAAGTTTGGTTGGTAGTGTTTGAACGCGGCTTGGAGGAGGTTGGCACAAGTTGGGAGTTCGGTGAGCTCGCCGAGGATGGTGTGGAGTTCGCGGAGAACAGTCAGGTTGTGTGGAAACCGTTTAAGGATTGCTATGAATGCGTTGCGGGCCTGAAGGCATGGTTAATGTAGTAATGAGATGAGTGTGAACGAACTTACTGTTCGAAAGTCTCCGACCTCCTTTGCCAACGATGCTCGATCCCACAACGCGTCGACATTTGTCGGGTCAAGACTGTATACTTTTCGATAGCAGTATAATGCCTGTTGGTTATACCCATGTTCCCTCGACTACCTCGCCAATTGATCCCACTCATGATCATCTGCATCGTGTCGAAGGTGAGCTGCCATGATCCTAAGCTGAAGCGCCTTCTGCCCTTGTTCCATATTTTCATAGCACTGCACAAGGACAGACCAAGCGAGGCGTAGTGGAGTTGTAATTGATTCAGTGAATATGCTGAGTTTGTGTGAGTGTAGCTACCTGCCATTATAATGATGTGCAAGATACGGGTTGTCCTTAATTAGGGTTGGTGCTGGCCATGAGTGGGTCTAGATCTTGGTGGTTTGATGTCAAACACACCTCGGGCCTGACGCTTCTCAAGCGCTAGGCGGCCTCAGACAAAGTGGTGCGAATGACGGTATCTAGATCTAGAACGGGTGGGTGTGATCTGAGGGGGCTGCGAAGGTCAGCTGTTGTTGGCTGTGGGTTTCGTTTAGGAAGGAGTGGGCGAATGTGGGCGTGCAAGAGAACATGCTCAGACGCAGGAAAGCAGCTGAATATGCAGAGCCATCTGCGAAAATAATCGTTAGCTACCACTGTCACAAAAAAGAATATGAACTTACTTGCCATACTCTGTGACCAATGCCGACCTCCCACCATGCAAGTAAGCCTGAGGGCTCGACAATGCAATACATTGGCATCCAAACACGACCTGCTGATTACCTTTTAGTTTTCTAGCTTCTTCGTCTGGATTGAAGACATTGCTTGTTGTACTGCGCATTTAAGCTAGAACGAGTGATTCGTGGTATGAACGATAAAGATCCAGATTTCAGACTAGATAACCGACCTGAACTAGTGGCCTTATTTAGCAAGTGTTAGGTCCGAGAATACTGCCATATTTAGCAGTTCTTCACCTCGTGGTAATTTACATATCTTCCACATATCTGCTGTGCAAATATGGACTTGCCTTTAGTAGAAATTTCTTCTCCAATATCATCGATGTTTATCCGCCCCAGAAAATTCTTAATAATTCTGACGGAAAAAAATTGATAAAATGAAATACAACATTTTAAATATCTTCCAACTAATTCCGGCAGTTAAAAGGTAGCATTATTAATAATATATACCCCGTTTTTCCACATTATACCCAGTGGATATATAAGCCAAGGCCCGCAGTGAAAGTGGTAGCCACCAGTCAAGATGAGTCCTACACATATCGATTTCTCCTTGAATCCCTCATTAGGCAAGGCAGTGTTTATGGCATTCAGCATCAACAATTGCCTGGAAGAGATAAAAGAAGTCACTATCAACACAAGGAGCAAAAGTCAGAAAGACAACACCTTGCAAGAAGAACCAATGCCTCTAACCAAACACTCTGAAAACATGAGCACAACTGCCCTGTCTAATGAAGTTGACGAATATTAGCAATACTTATCACTCCCCCACCTATTCCTACTGGACTTCAACAAAATTTCCAAAAAGGCATTTTCACATTCCCTTCCTACTGGACTCCTGCTGGACTCCCACTGGACTCCTACTGGACTCCAACTGAACTTAAACAAATTAGATGAAATGCTCCAGACATTGGATTCCTACTGGATTCCCACTGGAATATCAACTTCAATGTATTACCAAGTCAGAACTTCAAATTTCTATTCAAAATTCACATTTAAACAAATGTTGTATTGTGAAATCAGTACTTTACCATCCCCCACATAATCCACATGGACTCCACTGGATTCCACTGGATTCCACTGGATTCCACTGGACTTCACTACATACTGGCAATATCCACAAAATTGGACTCCACTAGACTCCCAGCACAAAACTGGACTCCACTGGACTGCAAGCACAAAACTGGACTGGACTGGACTGGACTGGACTGCAAATCACAAAACTGGACTGGACTGGACTCCACTGGACTCTCCCAACACAAAACTGGACTGGACTGGACTGCCACAGACCTAAGTTAATCCAGAATTCCTCTTCAAAACAAAAAATAAAATTGAAGTATATTCATTAATTAAATTAATTAAATTTACATAGATTCTATGTTACAGAGGGGGGAGGGAGGGGGAAGGGAAAGGGAAAGGGAGGGGGAAGAGAGGAATGAATAGAGGGGGGAGGGAGCAAGGAAGGGGGAAGGAAAGGGAGGGGGGAGAGAGGAGCAAGGAAAGGGGGAGGGGGAAAGGGGGAGGGGGGAAAGGGGGAGAGACGGAAGGGGGAAGAGTGTGAAGGGGGGAGGGAGTGGAGGGGAGTGGGAGTGGTGAAGAGAGGAGGTAGTGATGGGGGGAGAGAGTGGAGGGGAAGGGTGATGCTGCTGGGCCCTCATCGCCATTCAGCGCTGGCGGGCGCTCGTCGTTTTTTGTGGGCGTATCGTTTTTCGGGTGTGGTGGGGGCGGCGTTTTCGTCGGCGCTCGTTCGTTGTCGTCGCATGTCGTCGTTGTCGTGTGTCGTCGTCCCGGCGTGTCGTTGTCGTTGTCGTCGCGTGTCGTTGTCGTGTGTTGTCGTCCCGGCGTGTAGTCGTCGTCATCGTGTGTCGTTGTCCTTGCGTGTCGTCGTCGTTTTTGTGGGCGGGGGTCGTTTTTCATGGGCGGTGGCTGGTTTTCGTGTGACGTGGCAGCAGGCGGTGATGGGCGGTGACCGTTTTCCGTGGGCGCTCGTTTGTGTACGTCGTGTGGTCGGCTTCGCGTGTTGTCATCATCGTGTTTGCGTGTCGTCGTGCTCGCGTTTCGTCGTGCTCGCGTTTCGTCATTGTCGTGTTTTGTCGTCGTCGCATTTTGTCGTCGTGTTTCGTCGTGCTCGCGTGTCGTCGTCGTGCTCACGTGTTGTCGTTGTCACTGCCCTCATGTGCCGTGCATGGGTGGTTGCTGGCGTCGTGCCTGTCGTGGTGAGAACGGAGGAACAGGGTGGTGGGGCATACATACCCCTTGCCCATGACGTTGCCACGTCATGGGCATTGTCCCTCGTCCTTGGTCCATCGTTCCACACTACATATAAATTATAATCTTTCCATTCATTGATCAATAAAATTGTAGGTATAGCTTGTCTATTGTACACCGCCGTTTGGGCCCCAGGGTGATGGCAGAATGCCGAAATTCCTGATCGGCATCAAACCGCTCCCCTGTCAGCTACACAATTGACAGCTGTTGGGCAGCCTGTCGGATCCCAGCTGGTGACGAGGAGTTTGATTTCTGGCACCAGCCCTTGTCTAAATCTACTCACCAGCTTCACCCACTGAAATCATGATACCTACATATCTCACTGAAGTACCACATTTGTTTGAAGTGCATAGTAACTAGTAGCTCTTAATGCATTGACTTTATAATTTCTCATACCCCTTCATAACAATAAAATACCTTACAGCAGAATTGTCCAGATGAACAGAGAGAGATACATGTGGGAAATATGTTCAGACTCCGCAGCTTCAAAAAGGGCATAAACTGTCGTCAACAATCCATTGCCTCCCTTGTCACGCAACAACAACCTCGCAACAACTTCACCGCTCCATCATTGTTTCCGACCGCATCATGCCATCTCTGCCGTCTCCAGTTTCGCCAACGCCCAACACACACACCAACACTCAACACATATGACTGACAAAGTGTGGATGGGGTCAAGCACTGCCAACAACACACTCGGACACGTTGACTGCCCACATCCCCCACACCAGCCACACATGGGTCGACGCCAACTAGCTGCGACGTCAACACCCGACCAACTCCGGCATCATGTACGATGTTCCCTTCCCTGCCAGGTGGAGCTCTCTTGCTTGGTAAGTTCTCACCGCTATGGGGGTTGCTGCCCTTGCCGTTTGTTTGTCCAAACCCTGCCAAAGTAAGTCACTAACGACAACCTATCCTGTCTGCCTGCTAATGTGGACATTCTCTCTTTAGACTTCTTCACCACTGGCCATCACCTCCACCACCAATCGACGAAGGGGGCATATGAGATCACAATGACTTGAGAGTATCACAATAGCAGGGAAGGGAGTTATGGGTGAGTAGTAGCATATAACTAGCCTCTTCAGTAGTACCAGTAATTTCATCGTGTTATTGAGTAACAATTACATATCATTGATTTTTCTACATTATGTGCTTGGATTGAGGAGGGAATTGAATGGGATATTGAGTTATTGAATACATGGTTGCCATACTGTGATATGTACCCTCTCTACATATTCACCCACAATGACAATAGCCAGAGCGGTCAGCTGGAAATTGGCTGGACCTGACAGGTTTGTGCCAGCTAGGCTGGCGGCAGAACCCTATTAGTTCGATTTTGAGCTGGTGGCCACAATCCGTCACACTGGTGACAATGTGGGAAAATGTTGAGGAGACGCCGCATGGCCCAGGTGGCTTCCACATCTGGCCCAAATAGTGGTGTATAGTCCATTTTCGCTTTTTTAGTTATATTCATATATAATAATAATAATATACTGGAATGACTGGAATCCACTGGAATCCACTGGAATCCACTGGACTCTGACTGGACTCATAGTCCACTGGACTGGGACTGGACTCAGGAAAGTGGCTGGCAGTCCAGTGGGAGTCCAGTGGACTGGACTGGACTGGACTGGACTGGACTCCAGTGGACTGGGCATTCTGCCAGCCAATCTGGCCTGGTAAGAGGGCCACTGGAATCCACTGGAGTCCACTGGAGTCCACTGGAGTCCACTGGAGTCCATATGGATTACATGGGGGAGGGTAAAGACCTCCTTCAAGATGGTACAAGTGAAATGGCTTTATTTCTAGTCAGACGTTGAAAAGTCAGCCAGTTAAAAAAGAAATAATTTCAATATGCACCTCCATATTGATGTGTTTTGCGATATGGCAGCGTCAAAGTCATACGGTTCTTTGACATTTCAATATCTGCCATCGTTAATTTAAGAACCTCATCCACCTGAAGCAAACACAGAAAAGCAATTGTGTATACAGCTTGGAGTGCTCATCGTGTAAGTCCACCACCCCACTCATGGAGCCTTCCAGCATCTTGGCGAGAAAGAGGTGTATATGCATGAATTTTCCAGTTCTCCAGGAGGTGATTGTAGTTGTACAAATCCTCCAAAATACTCTGAAAATTTAATTAGATCATGAGACCCAGTTTTTGAGAAACGAACAGAAGTTATCGCTCGAGCACTTGTTGCTGTCTCTCCAGCTTTGACCTACAATAAATTTATGAGATGAGTTTACATTTTGGGAACCAAGTCACCTTTCGACGCTGAAGGCCAGACATGTAATTTGCTACTTCGGATGAAATGGAGGGATTGCCCATCATGCGACCAGGGACCAGTTCACTCTCATGCCACTGCACTGATCCAAGGTTGTAGTCACGCATAAATACATGGGTCATTGCAGCCCACATCTTTTGAGCCTGAGCATAGGAGTCCCAAAACTGGTTTTGTGGGCGGTGTTTACCATCGAGGGTAATTTCATCACATCTGTTAGCGAAAGTTCAACATTCAGCCCACCGAGTGAGAGAAGCGGTTAATAAAAGAAAAGGACGGACTTGCTCATAATCCAAGAGCAGATCCAGAAAGGAGCATCCACTGGGGGGAGCCACAAAAGAGCTCTGAGGAATTCTTGATGAGGCCAGAATTTGTCAAGAAGGTGGTGCATTGCTCCTTAAGTCTGCAGAACATGAGTGATGAGGCACTGATGTGATTTCCTGTCTTTACCACTGGTATTTGGCCTCTGTCTTGTCGGCAACACCTCTTGAAGCTCCGAAAACAGAGGCTTTCCATTTCTTCATGAATTCACAATTTTCTGGCTCAAGGTCAGCTGCAACAAGGTCAGGAATTGTGCCCTGTTCCCCCTTGAGATCTTCATCAATTTCTTCTTCAGTAATTCTGTCGTCTCCATTTTCAAACTGGATATTGAGGGCTTTGAAGTTGCAAGCAAGTAGTGAAGGGTGGCCATCAGCCATGATAGAAAAGGGGGAGGTGCAGAATGTGCATTGCTCGTTACACTATATATACACGGAGAGGGCACTGAAACAGATTAATCATATACAAACCTGCACCTCCTATTCATACCTCCTGCTCAGAGTCAGAGTTGATTATAAGAGCATGTTCAGGGTCACGCCTGTCATTCATTGATTTTTTCATGGGCACAACAATCTTCCCTGTCCGAATTTGTTGATGGTGAGTTGCCGGGGCTGGGAAAACAAAGAGATCACACCTGTTTCCTGTGCGGGAACAGTGAGGTCAATCATGGCAATGACATTCGGCTGCTTCATAACTTTGGTCGGCTTGGTTGCCAGTTGGTTTTTGTCAATGATGGAAACCTCGTGTTTGCCTGGCATACCTCCATGAATTAATAGAGAAGTTGTGAGATGAAGACAATGTTGCCTACCTAATGAGGAAGACAAGGCTTTATTGCCCCGAGGTACATCCCCCCTGTCTATTGTTGATCATTGACTCAGTAATTACCATCAAGAGAAAGTCATAGCAGACTTACCTTCAGCAAACAGCTCTGGATATTAGTGTTCGCAAGTTCAGTTCAGTCCGGTTTTTTGCCCCCAAAACGCGCAACTGTGGACCACAACTGGTCTAGGACCCACCCAGATATTGAGGGAACCGAACCGAACCACCTAGGACCGGTCTTTTGCGGTCTATGGAGCCGGTTCAGACCGATCCAGACCAGTTTTTTTGCATATAATTTATTATACCAATATAAACCATTTGTATCTCGACTATTATTACTCTAAAAAATTAACGGGTTATATAAAATAGTAAAGCATGTAAATACCTGTCATTCTACCAATTTTTAAGAGATTTAATGAAGATTTGACATAGCTATGACTGAAACCGAATTACATCTCCTAAAGACTTCGGTAAAATATGGATTTGGTTATATCTTTCTCAATTCTTAACCGTTTTTGATGAAAAAAAAACCCAATAAAAGGTAATAAACGTGGTTACAAGGGTATGTAACGCACGTGACCGTTTAACCGGTTGCAACCGATCAAAACCGGTCTTTGAGCGGTTTTAAAAGATTTTCGAAATGAGGCAACCGGCAACTGGACCAACCCCAAATTGGGGCAACTGCAACCGAAAAAGAGACCGGTCCATGGTCCAGTTCAGTTCGGTCCACCGGTTTTTTGCGGTCCTATGGACTGAACCTTTAAACACTACTGGATATGTTTGTTGAATCATTACAATTGGTAGCCATGCACGAAGCCTGGGAAGTAAAGAGGTTCGCCAGTATTTGACCTTTCTCTCTGTTTCGCTGTCATTCTGAGTGCCCTGTACTGCTTTAATGATGGCATCGACAAGTGCATCGTCCAGAACACAGGACATGTGAACTTCTGGGTGGCGTGGATTGGAGGAATGCCCCATGACGCAGCACTGGAGGACCTCGCTAATGTATTTGCAAGGCCTTCGAGCAAGACCAAGACCAGTTTCACGAGCAACAGAATAAAGATGAGCAAGTGGAAGGGCTTGAAAAATAGTCGTTGTAAAGCGGACAAGAATTGCATCAGTGCTGCCCCAATGAAAATGTTCCTCTGCAAAGGCAGCCAGCCGGATGGGATCAGGACCATGCCCAATGAAACATATTGGTTCTTCAGCCATAGGGCTTATATAATGTTCAGCTACCTTGAGATTGGGGAAGTCTGATGCAAGTGACTGAGCAAGAGCAGGCTGGCGTGATGGCAGGAAGCCTGAGCTATTTGTGTGAAGCTCTTCACGCAAACCATGTCGCCACGCCGCAAGGAAGTCATTGGTCTCCCCATAGCATGACGAGATTTCATGGACAAGTGCCTCCCCGTACCGTGCCTTGGCCAGGCCTGCTGCCATCTGGATGCCACAGCCTTTGACCCCATCCTGTGAAGATGATTTTAGGTCAAAGCAACCCAGTAGCTACAAGCTGTGTTATCGAAAAATCACCACCAGTCAGCAGAGCGATCAAAACAAGGCCTGTGGTACTAAGTAGCAGAGAGGGATGTTGCATGATGTCTTTGGCGCGGTAGAGCTTTGCCTTTTCATCTCCATCAACCTCAGCCAAGCTGATGCATGGAATGAGTGAGCCACATAAATTATACGATTTTCGCTCACTTACTTTCGTAGGACAGCCTTGGCACCAAGCACCAACAAATCTGAATCTTCGCTTGCAATGAGGTCAATGACTCCCAGCTTTGAGTAACATGCGAGTTCGGCATCCCCCTCACCAGGAGCCTGTAGCAAGGTGAGAGAATGGCTTTCTAGGTAACACTTAACATATGTCAACCACCCCCCATCCAAACGCCTTCACCATCTTCTTGAAATCGTGCTCAATCCAGTGTGGGTTGCCACGAACTTGCTTTCCACGTTTTACACTTGCCCGTTTGGGCCCATCAAAGAAGAACAAAGCAGAGATAGGCTCCTCAAGAAGCCGACAGCATCGAGCAAAAAGGGTAGCCAGCTCAGGGTTTTTTGTGTTGCTATGCTGGTACATCGCCCTGTGAATCCAGCCACTGGTGAAGGACATCAGTTTGAATAGAGCGAAAGAGCGGAATGATCTGACCTTGCATCAATTCCTACTTGAAGGCATCTTATCCCTCCGGAGTTCAGGACAAAACCTTGTTCCACAGTGAGGTGATGCAGGGAGACCTCCTTTGCAGCAGCCTCAACATACTAGATAGGCTGATCAGCATTGGAAGTTTGCCGAAGAAAGCTGAACAGTCATTCACCTTCCATAAACCATCAATACCCATTGTGAGAGGATGGCAGGTTGAACTCAGGTTGGTGACTTGTCTCTGGTGACACTACGAGACTTGTTTCACCGAATAGAGCTCTGCTGTTCAACTCGGCAAGCGCGTCGAAACTGAGATGCATAGAACCTGTTAATGATTGAGAGTCAGCACGCATGGCCTGTGTATTCTTCGCTGAACAACACCTCTACACGTATTCCCGTGCCCGAGTATTCGCAAGGGTGTTTCGTTGGCTGTAATCGCTCCATGGAGAGGACAATAAAACATGCTTACTGGAAGGAGGTCGTAACTTTCCGGGCAACATGCGACATGAACGGCAACTGGGCTGGTCGGTGTGTAGGAATGTGGTGAAGGGTAAAATTTGTGTTGATACTCACGTGTCTGCCCAATTGTCCAACATGATGCCCATACACCAGATGGCTGCTCTACTCTACCATTAAGAGAAGTGATACCAGTTTCAAATTACAGACACCAGTAGATGAAAGTGTTCTCACTTTGACGATGAATCAAGATTGAGGCAACAGCGAGCTTGTTGCATGTTGCAACTGGAGCCCACAGGATCATATTGAAATGTGCCACCATACCTTATAATGACTGTGTAGTGTAATGGTCTAACGGGCTGCTTTCTGTGTATAATGTGTGGTGTGCCCGATTCCTGAAGCTGTGAGTTCAATTCCCTGCAAGTGCTGTACTTTCCTAATATTTCATTTCCATGCTGTGTGTTTTGAAGCAATCCTGCCACCTTCCTCACCTTGAAATTTTGTTGCCAATTTAATTTTGGAATCTTAATCATACCAGCATAAGGCCAGGTTAAAAGTGCCAACCAAGATTACTTGACATTATATTGTGATCGGATTTTACTGGGACTACAGATACCCACCCCACATACTTGGATGCCAAATGTGAACAGCGAGGCCCAGCATCTCACAGGTTCAGGTAGTCATTTCTGGAGAGAGTTCCATCAGTTCGAGGCTACAAATATAAAAATACAGCAGGAACTCATGGAGTACTTCAATTTTTTGTCTAGAGACACCTGTCCCCCAGATAATTGAGCGATGTACATGGCCTACGATGCCTGACGTCTTGTAAACCCAGGTGACAGTTTCTAAAGCAAATACAGTCAGTTAGAGACCAGGGACGCAAAAATCGAGCAAGAACTCAAAGAGTAGCTCGATTTTTTGAGTGTGGACTTCAACCCCCCCACATATTTGAACGCCAAATGGAAACGGCAGCGCCAAACATCTCGTAAATCGGGGTACAGTCATCAATGGGTCAATGACACAAACATTTGTAGCTGAATGTATCACGTCTAGCACACTGATTCAAGTCACACAAAATGTTAGAATGTATCTTAACTCTACATTCCAGGACTTTAAATAATTTTACCTTGTGCTGTTGTTGAGGACTGCATCTTTCGGTCGAAACAGCGTCAACCTACTCAATGACACAGTCACAAATGCCTTGATTGGGATATAATCCGGAGTTTGGCTTTGTTTGTCTGCAGATATTTCTTCGAAGCAACAATCATCTCAATGGACAAGCCGACCTCGAGCACACGTCCCTCCCTCCAAGACGCTACTCGGAACTTAAACCTTCCACCTCCACCCTCTTCCAAACTTGGCAGATCATCCAAAAAGCTCACGTCACGAGCCACAACGAAAGCCGTCTATCATCATATCGAGGTGGCTGAAAAACAAGCTGGGGTCTTCCCAAGTCCAGCGCGCAAGCGTGCAGCTCGGAAAAGTTTTCTGAAAGCTTCCTTGAAGACAACTTCGTGAGTCTACTACATCATATTGCCTGTTCATTGCCTGATTCTCTCCCTGTCCAGTGACTTTGGTGCAAACGGCATACTCGACTCCCAAATCGATTCCCAACAGTGGTACGACAACCTGACACACGATGGGGTATCCCAGGATAGCCCACCTGTCCCAGCCATTGAAATCGAAGACGAAGAAAGCACCCAAGCTGAGGAAACCAACGACACGTGCACAAACTGTGCCCACCTACTTGCTGAGCTCGAGCGCTCGTATGCGGCTCATCGGAGGACATGCAATGACGGCGTCAAGCTGGCAAGAGATTACGACCGTTTGATGGTGGAGGCGAAGTTCTTAAGGGAGTCAATGGTTTTCGCAGCAGCAAAGATTACACAGATGGCAAAGGGCATGAATGGGACACTTGGAGAACTCTTGGACCCACATTCAGAGTAGTTAGCAGTCCCCCTCTATAAATCAATATCATTTTGGTTCCCAGTCCTATTCCATGCTACGAGCCATCAAGTACTAGTATCTATTCCGAGTCCTCATCCAAACTACTGTCAGAATCACTGCTCTGGGAGTTAGTCACACTGTCCTCATCCTCGTCATCCACGGCCGTGTTCACTCCCCCTTCAGGTGCCCCTATCGCCTCGACCGTTCCCGCAACACGACTGGCTGGTTTCGGGATGAGCCGTCCCTTCAAAGTTGGCTTCTTCCACGCAGGTCGGCGCTTCTCTCGCTTAGCAAGGTCCCTCTCAGCCTCCCACGCAACAACCTCTTCCTTCCACTGTGCACGAATCTCCTTGTTTTGCGCCACCCGCTCAGCCTCGGCTACCTTTTGTCCCTCGGTTGTAATTGCTTTTGCCGCTCGTTGTTCCTTGCGCAACTTCGCCTCTGCTTCCTTTCGAATCATTTCCTCTGTGTGTGATTTGACCTCTTGTGTGAATTGCTTTGCTGTGTAAAGGCGAGGCCGGCCATCCGCTACCAGTCGACCCTTCTTCTGTTTGTTTTTCTTTGCCTCCTCTTGTGCTGCTAACTGACCTCGAACGTCATCGACATAAATGCCGTTCAGGACCAACGAGGACTGCAGAGCGATGAGGTGAGTCTTCTGCACATCCAGCTTTGCTTTTGCTTTTGCTAACTCCTCTCGCAGTTCTGACTTGAGCGCTGTTTCCGGAACAGTGAAATGACGGGTGACAGGTGGTGAGATTGCACAAGCAATGAATGATGGTGGTTCCGCCGTTGATTGGATTGGGGATGAAGTGATGAGATAGGACAGGGACGACGTGCGAAGTGACTGGAGGGCTGTGCGGACAGGCGTATCGAATGGGTTTTGGCGACGGTGTGGGGTGCAAGGTAAGGCTTCGTCGTCCGTGCTATCAGTCTCTGACACCACCATGGTGTGGGCGCGCTTGCGCACACCGTGAATCAAGGCGGTCACAGCTCGGACAGGCGTGGTTGGTTGGACTGGAAGGTAACCCTGGCAAGAGGTTTCGACACTTGGAGCCATCATTTCCGCAGTGATGACTGAGCGATTGAAAGGCCATGCACCCGTTCGACGAAATGCGGCCTTGATGTTTTCGGGTGTCAACGCACGGACATGGGCAGCACCATAGATACGTAAAAAGTTCATCTTGTCGACTTTTGTCCTCTTTTCACGCAACCACCTGTCCTTCTCCTGAGTCCAAAACAGCTTTAATGGCCCAAATATGACCACATCAAGACCTTGATACACATGGGTTGCATGGGAAGGGTAACACAAGATGTGAATTCGATGCTTACGTGCAAAGAGGAGGAAGCCGAGCGTGTAGTGAGAATTGTGGCCATCCACAAGAAGCACCCGAGTACGTCCATTTGCTTTTGCCTTCGTTTGTTCATGGAAATCTTTGATGTATTCCACCCCAATCTCACCATTGGTCCAGCCCTTTTTCGAATAACCAAGTCTACATAGAATGTTGGTGAGAAGCAAGAATTTTCAATGAATACTGAGACGTACGAGGCCTCCGTGGGATTTTCCTGGTCCCACTTGACATGATATGATTGTCCTTTGTAGAGAACGGCAGGTTTCAACGATGATCCATCAGCACAAATTGTGACGATGACTGTGGTATTTTCCCTCCCACCATCCGACTGCTGATGCTGAGTCTTCTTTCCTCTCGGTCCAATCACACGCACCCTAACGCCGCCTTCTGGAAAGAACCCTGATTCGTCTGTTCCATAAATATTCTCCTCTCGGATAGGTTCGTGTCCACCATCCTCATCCTCATCAACTCCATCATCTCCATAGGTATCTTTCTCAAGACTTGCCAGGGCTGGCATGTCGTCATCGACCTCATCAGCCTGACCACTGCTTCTAGTTGGAGGAGGATCTCGGATAAGGGCTGGCATGTCCGAGTCATCGTCGACATCATCAGCCTGACCACTGCTTCCCGCGCTAGTTGGAGGAGGATCAAACTCGTCATCCCTGTTTCCCTTTAGGACATCTTCCAACAGATCAAACCACTCCTTGTTTGTGTGCGGATTAACTGCCCTTCCCCGTTTTTCATCGAGATTGTGAGTCCAATAGGTGCTGAGCCGATCAGAGTGCTTACTGATGAAATGGCTAGTCCAGTTTTTGCCTACTCCGGAAGCGGGAAACTTCCTTCCTAGCCGCGCATGGCAAATGCTGTCGACATGGTCCTTGAGCCGTCTGTGGCTGAGTGGGAATCCACGAGAAGCAACCTCGATAGCATAATCAATGACCATTGTCGCCTCCCACTCGAGCAACCAAGACTTCTGAGAATTCCGGATGCTTTTCAGGGTTCCACCCTTGACCAGCCTCCGCAAGGTACAGGGATCGAGCTTGACTGTCCTCTTGGTTTCCGACCAGTGCTCATCCTCGATCTTTTTGCAGACTTTACGCAGACTGAGGGGCTTTCGGTTGACTGCCGTTTCCTGTTCGTGTCGATAGAGGGCTACTGCACGGATGAGGAGGCCATCCTTGGTACCCCTGTCTTGTTGGAGTTTCCGAGCATCGGATAGAGGTCGGCCAGTCATTTTCAGATGGGTTAACCAATACGAAACTTTTTTTTCGCTTGTCTGGCCCAGTTTGAGTGTGACCCAGAGCTTGTCACAAAAGATAACACCTCTCAACGTCGTTTCCCCTCTTTTGCACTCTTAGAGGCTTTATAGAACCCTACCTCCTTAGATAAAATGCTATGAGTGTTCCTTTCACTGTGCTGTACCCATGTACCACAAAAATGTAGATATTACTTGGCTATGTCGTTGCTACATTAGGTTATAGAATTCATCAATCTTCATGAAAACCAATAAATGGAACTTTCAAAATGCCGAGGGTCTTATGGTACCCCAACAAAATCAGAAATGTATTCATCCAGCCTATTACTATGTGCTTGAATATACTCAAATTGTTTCGAGCAAAACTGAAGCAACAAGAGTGTTTTGTGTCAATGACCCAGCTGTGTCATTGACCCGTTGATGACTGTAACAATTTCTGGAGTGAATGCCTTCAGTTGGAAGCCAAGAACATAGAAAACGAGCAGGAAGTCATGCAGTATCTTGGTTTCCTGAGTGTGGACCCCACTCCACCACATATATGAACGCCAAATGTGAGCGGTGAGGCCCAGCATCTCGCAACTTTGGGCAGTGATTTCTGGAGAAAGAGCCATCAGTTCGAGGCTACGAACGTAAAAATCGAACAGGAACTTGTGGAGTACTTCAATTTTCTGTGTATAGACTTCTGTCCCCTAGATAATTGAACGCCGTATGTGAGCGACTATGCCCAACGTCTCGCGAATGCAGGTGACAGTTCCTAGAGCAAATATGGCCAGGTAGAGGCTAAGGACGCAAAAATCGAGCAAGAACTCATGGGGTAGCTCAATTTTTTGAGTGTGAACTTCCACCCACCCACATGTTTGAACGCCAAATGAAACCGGCAGTGCCTAACGTCTCGTAAGTTTGAGTAACGATTCTTGGAGTAAATGCCGTCAGTTAGAGGCCGAGAACGTAAGTAATGAGCAGAAACTCATAGAGTAGCTTGATCTTCTGAGTGTGGACCCCACTCCACCACATATATGAACGCCAAATGTGAACGGCAAGGCCCAGCATCTCACAACTTCAGGTAGCAATTTCTGGAGAGAGTTCCATCAGTTCGAGGCTACAGACGTAAAAATAGAACAGGAACTCACAGAGTACTTCAATTTTCTGTGTATAGACTTCTGTCCCCCAGATAATTGAACGTCGTATGTGAGCGACAATGACCAATGTCTCGCAAATGCGGGTGACGGTTCCTAGAGCAAATACAGTCAGCTGGAGGCCAAGAATGTAGAAATCGAGCATGAACTCTAGTGTTTAAAGGTTCAGTTCAGTCCGGTTTTTTGCCCTGAAAACGCGCAACCGTGGACCGCAACCGGTCCAGGACCGACCCAGACATTGAGGGAACCGAACCGAACCACCTAGGACCGGTCTTTTGCGGTCCATGATACTGGTTCAGACCGATCCAGACCGGTTTTTTTGCGTATAATTTATTATATCAATATAAACCATTTGTATCTCAACCATTATTACTCTGAAAAATAAACAGGTTATATAAAATAGTAAAGCATATAAATACCCGTCATTCTAGCAATTTTCAAGAGATTTAATGAAGATTTGACATAGCTATGACTGAAACTGAATTACATCTCCTAGAGACTCGGGTAAAATATGGATTTGGTTATATCTTTCTCAATTCTTAACCGTTTTTGATGAAACAAAAACCCCATAAAAGGCAATAAACGTGGTTACAAGGCTATGCAACGCACGTGACCGTTTAACCGGTTGCAACCGATTAAAACCGGTCTTTGAACAGTTTTAAAAGATTTTCGAAATGAGGCAACCGGCAACTGGACCAACCCCAAATTGGGGCAACTGCAACCGAAAAAAAGACCGGACCATGGTCCGGTTCAGTTCGGTCCACCGGTTTTTTGCGGTCCTATGGACTGAACCTTTAAACACTAATGAACTCACTTGGTAGCTCAATTTTCGGAGTGTGGATTTTAACCCCCCACATATTTGAGCGCCAAATGAGAACAGCAGCGCCTAACATTTCGTGAATTTGGGTAATGATTCCTAGAGTAAATGCTGTTGGTTAGCAGGTGAGAACATGAAAAAGGAGCAGGAACTCACAGAGTAACTTGATTATCTGAATGTTGACTTCTACCATCCCAACATACTTGATTGTCGAATGTGAGCAGCGAGCCCCAGCATCTCGTAACTTCGGGGAACAATTTCTGGAGAGAATGCCATCAGTTCAAGACCAAGAACGTAAAAATCGGACACAAACTGACAGCGAAGCTTGGTTTTTTCAGGATACACTTTTTCTACCCATCACAGAATGGAAAGTCAAATGTGAAGGACCAAGCCCAGCAGGTAGAAACTTTGAGTGGTGATTTCTGGAGTGGATGTTGTCAGTTAGAGGCTAAGAATGTGAAAATTGAGCAGAAACTTACCAGGTATCTCAACTTTTTGGCAGCTGTCTGGTAATTCGAGTGTTGAATGTGAACGACAGGGCATAACAGGGCGATGGGCAGCAACACTCACAAGCTAGGAGGCGCTGGGCTCCAGTGACCTGCATGTGAAGTGTAGTGGCAGTGGGTAGAGTATAGGCTGATATCAGTGGGTGCGCAATCAAGGTATGCTGAACCTGTTATATAACACATGAAGCAGTAAGGATCTGGTGACTGTCTCTTGATGGGCAAAGGACCGTCTTTTTTGAGGCTTGCGATGGTTTCACAACACGCGGGAAAATATTTTGGCAGGGGAAATCGGTGGTGCTGCATTCGAAAGACAGTCGTACCAGAGAAAAAGACAGTTTTCGTTAGGGTCCTGGCTTAGTTTGGGCAACAGGGCGAACGACAGGGATGATTTCATAGATATTGAACGCCAAGTGGCAAGCTCCAGGGCCCCCTACATACTGTCGGCATGAGGCTGAAGCGTGTTGTGCATCCTTTCAAGTATAAAGCTGCACCGTTAGATATGGCAACAGGGAGTGGTCAGCTTTGTTTTCGCGGCAAACACCGTTGTTTGCCCACCTGCCGAGTTGTGTGCCGGACATAACTATTACAAAATACCATTTTCCCACAATAATTACCTTACTTGAGCTCATAAAATGTTGAGCACTAACAGTTCTGAGAGTGCGTCGGAGATGGTAAGTACACAATCTCCTGTCTATTTGCTTTTTAAATTTGTTTGTTATTTTTATGTTATGATACTTCTGCTATGTAAATTGTTCTCTACCAACACTGTCCAGCTTTCAGCCAGTCACATTATGCTGTTCAAAAAATTAGTCAAAATTCGAAATTCTTTTTCAGCCACTGTGCAAAGTTGAAGAATGGTGAAACAAACTTCAGCAGTTAAGATTGAAGAAAGTAATTTAATTCTCTTCACCACAAATCTGCAGCACTCCTCATGCTGAATAAAACAGTAAAAAAAGCTAATTTTCCACTTCAGTCACCCATTTTAGGGTACCTCTCAGGTATATGAATTCTTGGATTTAAGGGTACCTCAATGGTACCCATTCCAGAGTGGTATGTGAGCACCATACCAATACCATGGTACCATGGAATGGAAAACTCATACCATATCCCACTCATACCAATACCAAGGTACCATACCATACCATGTCATGTTATACCATACCAGATGGTATGATACCATCATACCAAAGCTGTCACTGGGTGTCTGGGGTCCTTTTCCAAAATAAATAAATAAATTCTGCAGGCTGCAATACTGGTCCATTGGGTACCATTTTTTGTGGGGTGGTTCTCCATGTTTTTCTTGAGATATTGAGCTACAAATTGAGGCTAGATAGTCCAAACCATCTATTGAAAATGAATTTAAATAGGCTTTATCCCAGCTTTCTCATGCATCCAAAGCCATTTAATGATACATATCTTTCCCAGTCCTTTTGATTTCAACAAATATTCATCCAAATCAAACAATACCACATCTATTGGGATGAAGTGGTCATTGAGAAGCAAAGAAAAGTGGAAAGGTTCTTCAGGTTTTTTCTAAGATTTCCAACTCCAAGTGGAGGCTAGATAGTCAACTCCAACCTTTGGAAATCAGTTCAATTGAGGGTTTTTTCATTTCTAAAAAGCCATTAATATGAATCCTCCCAATAATAGGTAAAATATATTTTGCCCAGTAGGGCCAATCAGGCAGTCCTACCTACTTACATAGCATGTACATATAGTATGGCCAACAACACCATATAATCTCAATTTTCTTAAAAACTACATATGATGGAATCAGGTATTGTTGTCCTGAGTGTTTGGTTCTTTGTCATAATATTTGGTCCAATTTATTGAAGCTGAGTGAATCTGTCCAATCCAAAGTCTTGTTAATTGGAAATGGAATCAAGTCTTGTTGTCCTAAGAGTCTTCAATATCAAAATATCATACCATGGTGTTGTAATCCCATGTTGCATTCTCATACCATACCATGGTATTGCACTCTCATACCATACCATACCATACCATGGTATTGCACCCTCATGCCATACCATGCACCCTCATACCATACCATGCACCCTCATACCATACCATACCATACCATACCATACCATACCATACCATACCATACCATACACCATACCACACCATACCACACCATACCATGCACCCTCATACCATACCATGGTATCAGGAACCATAATCTATTTTTATTCAAGCAGAGGAAGTCAGAAAACCCTCATTTCGAAGTTTGTTTACATATATTTACCAATAGCTTTGACCAAAGTGATGCTAAAATTTTGTACTGTACCGAACTGTATGGTGGCAACGGCAGACGGAGCGTTACGCGCCCCGAAGGATTTTTTTCGGCAACCGACCGGGCGTTACGTGTTACTTTGGTCCGATAGGCAACCCCCCAGAGATTTAGGAAGACGATGTACAGAAGTAGATG